GAAGAAGAAGAAGAAAGATAGAAAGGGGGGGCGGGTTGGTTAGCTCTTTAGGGTTTTCCCTTCCTTCTTTTTTTTGTTTTTTTTGTTTTGTTTTTGTTTTGTAAAATGTAAGACAAAAGGGGTTTGGGTCTTTTGGGTTATGGACTGGGTCGACCCAGTTCGAAATGGACTGGGTCGTAGGGAAGATTGGGCCATTTTTTAGGCCTATGGCTTGAAGTTGAATAAGAAGCCTAATTCCGACTTTCTTTATATTTTCGCTCTCTTTTCTTCTTTTATTTTTCTAAAACTAAATTATAAAAATACTTAAACTATTATTAAGAACTAAATTAAGTTATAAAAGCGCAAATTAACTTCCAATAACAATTAACGCACAATTAAGTAATAATTAAGCATAAAATTGTATATTTGGACATTAAATGCTAAAAATGCAAACGATGCCTATTTTTGTAATTTTTATTTTTTGTAAAACAAATTTAATTACTAACAATTGTAGAATTAAATCCTACATGCGAAAGGCGACATATTTTTGTATTTTTTTATTAATTTAGCAAATAAACATGCACAAACAAATACAAATAATTATTCAAAATGTCACAAAATATCACAAAAATGGCACACCAAGAAAAATCATTTTATTTTTGAATTTTTTGGGAGTAATTCTCATATAGGGCAAAAATCACGTGCTTACAACCACCCAACAAAAACTCTATCAGAGCAGGGAATCAGGTAAGATAACTTGCATAATATTTAGCGGAAAATATTATCTGAGGAAGAAATAGGATGTTCTTTTCTAGTCTTCCACAAGGATTCAGGTCAGAAATAAGAGAAAAATGCATGCTGTACAAAGACTGCAAGGCCAACAGCTTCAAATGTCAAAATTCATCAATATAAAAAAAAATTGCACCAAAGAACCCTTTTGTCCCATTTTTCACCCATGGATCCATACAAGTGTTTTATGACACCTAAATTAATTCCCACTATCAATACTAAATATTGTATTATAAGTTTAAAACCAACAAAATAATCTGACACCATGGACTTTCCACTTTTTTCTGATTTCTCACCGAAATGTACGTGCATGTGCATGAAATAAAATTCGCATTATCACCTCATCTAAGCAACTAATAAATTTTCTCTCTGCAAGATGCCAAAACTACTTCACAAAGTTTTGAAAGAATCAAGGACAACAAACAGGCTTTGCATTTCAATTCCAAAAGCAATCAAGAAATACTACTTCTTACTAATGGATCAGAACAGAGTTGCTTATTCTAACTGGAGTCACAACAGTAAATTGGCAATAAGTAAATTCCCAACAAGAACCATGTCGAAAGTGTCAGCCCTTTAACAGAATGGATAAGATATTACAACAGAAGACCTTGAATACCTGAAATCTGATAACCAATGGTGGCAGGAGTGTTGTTGTCCATGTTTGGGTCAATTAAGCTATTTGTGTCAGCTGCAGAGCTCAATGGCACACTTGTTGACAGCATTGGCGGTAAAAATGGCGAACTTTGGGAAAGGTGGTTGTTATTCGGAACAACAGGAAACAAGGGCTGAGACACGGGAACAGGTGGATTAGATGCCGGGAGGCCTGGAGGACTAACAAGCGTTGGTGGTGCAATAGCTGGCATTGGAGGCCTCACATTTTGCACAGGAAATAATGGTTGTTGCGGCAGACCCATTGGTGCAGGAGGAGGAACCGAGACAGCAGGATATTGTGGATACCAAGGTTGGGGCCGAGGGGGGACTGGCCAACCAGCGGGAGGCATCGGCACAGCAGGATTATAGCTGCACAAACAGGCCAGATCCATGTAAGACTTTTTTTTGAAAATCTGATCCATGTAAGAATTTATATACCTATTGGAGGTGCTCATTAAAAGTTAATAAATTCAAAGCATGCCAATAAACAACAAAATGTAGAAGAAAAGGTTAACAAAAAGATAAAAATGCCAAGGCTAAAATTACCCCTATTATCTTTTTTATTTTGTGACAATGGTCTCCTCGACTAGTCCATCGAGTAGCCAGTTAGAGCCCACAAGCATAAGTGCTGCCGTGCCAGTTCATATCAGTGTTGTTGTTGGAATTCAAACATGGAATTTCAAGATTGTTACTGCTATCCCTCAACTACTCAGCCATCCCTTGGAGACATAATTCTGTTTTATCTATAGGCCACAAGGATAACAAGGAAGAAATGTGTCAACTTCAATACTGAAATCTAAGCTGCTGAACACCTGAAAAACTAGCGCTAGAATTCTTTACAGACCAATTCTTGACAAAATTTAGGTATGCCACACCATCAGTCATAACTATAACAAAGTCAGAGCTGGGATATGCTATATTAAAGAGCTAGATTCCTAATCTCATATATTCATTATTCTGCTCGTTTGACCAAGTAATACTGATCCTAACATAGGAATCTTTCAGAAGAAATCCAGAAACATTAGGTAATCCTAGAATAGAGATACAAAGCAAGCAGTAGTCCTCCCTCCGGATCCTTCTCGTCATATGTAAAAGCATGTCCTCAAAAAGACCAGAATCAACTGTAAAAGAACTAAACTTTAGTACAAGAGACTTCTGCTAAATCACTGTCCCGGATGGGCTCCAAATTGGAATATTTGTAAGTCTATCTTCTTAAAAAGAAATAGTTGGTTCTCTTATTTTGTATTGATAGCTGTGTTACTAGTCAAAATTGTAAAAGTTTTTCTTTTTCAAGAAGTACGAATTTTTCTTTGCATTTATTCTGTCTTACAAACAAACTTATTCAAGGAATATACTCCTTGATACTGATAAACCGACACGAATGACAGATTCCATCTTAAACAAAACTTATTCAAGGAGAACATATGCTTTGATAGAAGAGATAAAAATGAATTGACTCCAGGCTTCAAGAACAAAATGAAGAGATCATGACTCGCAACTTATGGGGGTATATTTTCTCACAAATCCCAAATATCGAAAGTTTTTTCTTTGTGATAAAACTCATGCAACAGCATATGAAAAGGAAAGTATCCTAATTTATTCAAACACAAGGAAATCTGAACGCATAAAAAAGCATTTCCACGACTAACATACAGTGGTGGCATTGCACCAAAAGGTGCCCGGGGAGGGTATCCTGGAATTGCACCACCAACATACTGGGATGACGGAATGTCCACTTTGGCAGTTTTTGCTGGGGCCTCATCATCTACAGGAAAATAAAAGCCATAGAGAGAACAAACTTAGGTTTATGTAGTCATGAAAGCAGAGAAGCTAGAACAGACAACTCTAGCAGCATCTATGGGAAAGATCTGCAGAAAACTGAAAAGGTAATACACTCATATTAACTCAAAGATGAGATAAAGGAAGTCACTAAAAGCTCAAACACAAAGGTACTAAAAGCTTAAACACATAAACACCAGGGGACAGCAAGTAGAGAAATCGGAACATCAATTGCTTTTAGTTTAGCAGATGCAAGGTTGAAAACTTAAAAACAAGCTTCTGATTTCTGCAAGTTGCAGGCTTATACAGAAGTAGAACTAGTCAGGAGCCCATACTGAAACACAGACTTAACACCCAATAGAAGTAAGATATTAATATGATACAAGCTCCAGATAGCTACTTCTTTAACTATATTCAAACTAATGCCCTGAACTTCTGTCACGACCCTAAACCCGAACCCGATCGTGATGGCGTCTCTCGTGAAGAAAAGGCTAGCCAATTAAACCCAATTCACTTTTAAACAGTTAAATAGCATAAAAGCAGTCTAAAACATGATATAGCAATACTAAGTAGCGGATAATGTCAATAAAGTGGGGAAGTACAACCCAACACAGCCTTAACCGGGGTGTCACTAGTCATGAGCATCTATAAAACCCAATACAAGTCTGAAAGGTCTACAACTAGTACAAAAGCCTGATATGAGATAGAAATGATAAAGAGGGAGAAACACGAGTCTGCGGACGTCAAGCAGCTACCTCGTGAACCCCGAATGTCCGCCGGGAGCTCTCAACTCGCACTGGCAGGATCAGCAACGCCTGAATCTGCACACAGGGGTGCAGGGAGTAAAGTGAGTACTCCAACTCAGTCAGTAACAAATGTAAATAACGACTGAAAGTAAGAAAACACATAAGGCACAAGGCATTCTATAATGAAGCAGTAAAACCATTTAAAAGCAGTACAACAGTGGAAAGTCAAGTAAAATCCTCTTTCACAAATAAACAAGTAATTGACAGGTAATTAAGGTAGAGTAAACAAATAGAAGTTCGCCCCTCGGACACAGTATCACCACATCCGCCCCTCGGGCAACATCTCAGAACAATAACAGCCTCTCGGGCTCAATCTCACATCACAATGGATACCCGCGCTCACTGGGGGTGTGCAGACTCCTGGAGGGTCCCCTTACGGCCCAAACGCAATAACAAGCCATCTCATGGCATCAACTAGGCCCTCGGCCTTATATCAATCAAGCCACCTCGTGGCGTACATATCTTAGGCCCTCGGCCTCATATCAGTACCAGTGTTTCCTCACAACTAGGCCCTCGGCCTTACTCAGTCAAAAATACTCACAAGCCCCTCGGGCAATAGTAAAACAGTGTTTCTCGGCCCAAACATCATTTAAAATATCATTTAAGTCTTAAAACTGAGTAAACATGGCTGAGTATGAAAACAGTGAAAAATAATAGGACTGAGTTCAAGTGTAAAGTCAAAACAGTGAGGAAATATCAATAAAAATCCCCGAAGGGTTCAAATAGTTGGCACGAAGCCCAAATATGGCAATCAACCCAAATCATGATGATAGCAAATAAGTTTCAGTCAAATACGCGGTAAAATCATCAATCGGGATGGACCAAGTCACAAATCCCCAATAGTGCACGACCTCATGCCCGTCATCCAGCGTGTGTCTCACCTCAATATAGCACTACGATGTGCAATCCGGGGTTTCAAACCCTCAGAACATCATTTACGATCATTACTCACCTCGAACCGGTTAAATCTCTAGCTCGCGACGCCTTTGCCCCTCGAATCGGCCTCCACGCGGGTCGAATCTATTCAAAATCAGAACGAGGACGTCAACATATACTAAGGGAACAAAGCTCAAGCGAAAACAATCAACAAAGGGCACAAATCCCGAAATTACCAAAAACCCGAGCCCCAGGCCCGCTTCTCGAAAATCAGAAATTTTTATATCAATAGATTCCCCATCTCCCCACGAGTCTATGCATTTCAAGAATACCAAAATCGGAGTTCAAATAACCCCTCAAATCCTCAATTTAATGCCTCTTAAACTCAAGCCTTAATCCTCTATTTTTAGCCTTTTAATTCCTTTAATTTCAGTCTTAAATCCATGAAATACTACCATAGAAATGTGTTTTAGGTCCAAAATACTTACCTTAACGAGGTTCCCTTGAAATCTCCCTTCAAAAATCGCGAAGGAAGAAATATATACATTCTGCCCAGGCCTCTCTGCATTTGCGGTCCAAAACCCGCTTCTGCGGTACCGCTTTTGCGTTTAACACACCGCTTTTGCGAAAATCACTCAAGCCGGCCACTGCCGCACCTGCGATCCTTCTTCCGCATTTGCGGTTCCGCAGATGCGGCCCCCACAACCGCATTTGCGGTTTCCTGACAATCCCCTCCATAACCGCTTCTGCGGCTTCTCCCTCGCATATGCGGCGCCGCACCTGACAACAAATTTTCTCAAGTCTCAAATCTTCCCGTTAACCATCTGAATTCACCCCGAGGCCCCCGGGACCTCAACCAAAAGCACAAACATAACCCAATACCTTATTCAAACTTGTTCCAATCATCAAAACGCCTCAAACAACATCAAATCTACCAAATCACACCGGATTCAAGCCTAAGTTTCTAAAATCTTCGGAAATACGCTTTTGATCAAAAACCCAACCAAACCACGTCCGAATGACCTGAAATTTTACACACACATCCCAAATGACACGACGGAGCTACTGCAACTCTCGGAATTCCATTCAGACCCCTATATCAAAATCTCGCCTACCAACCGAAAATCGCCAAAATATCAACTTCGCCAATTCAAGCCTAAAGTTACTCCAACCCTCCAAAACCCATTCCGATCACGCTCCTAAGCCATAAATCACCTCCCGAAACTAACCGAACCATCAGAACTCGCATCCGAACCCTCTAACACATAAGTCAACATCCGGTTGACTTTTCCAACTCCAACTCCCTTACAAGAGACTACGTGTCTTAAACCTTACTAAAATCATTCCGGACTCAATCCGACCAACCCGATACCATAAAACACGGATAACGAAGCATAAAGAAGCAGAAATGGGGAAAACGGAGCGGTGACTCATGAGACGACTGGCCGGGTCGTCACAACTTCAGTAGCACTATTTCAAGTTTTCAACACCCAGAATTTAAGTTCCTAAAACCAAGTTAAGGGAACATTCTTGCCACATTAGTTGCTATTCAATAGTAACAATACAATGGTATAGCAAGCAAGACAAGACCGCAAAAGTAACTTCTCTACTTGTCACAATTGAGCAAACCATAGGACTCCTCCATGTCACTCAAATGGCAAATTCAAGCACATCACTATAATGCTCATACCTCCTCTCCATAGTGAGCTGCTAAGACATCAGGTGGGATTCCTTGCATTCCATATACTTCAATATCTGTTGACTCTCTGCTGGCTTTGGCATTTGGTACCCTGTAACAGCCAAATACTCTTGCTTAATACATTTAATTGCAAGGAAAAAAACACCTGATAAAAAAATGCAAAAAAAAAAAAAAAAAAAAAAAAAAAAAAACACGAACAATTATAAGCATATTGGTTCCTCACTTCCTCCCTGTGCCAAGGCTTCCTTGGGTAATTTGACCCGGCAATATGATTTGGCAAGAAGAATTAAGAATTTACAAAGATAAGTGGGTCGAAAGACAAGGTCAAAATTGCTTTAAAGTCAAAAGCACCCATCCACAATAGACCTAAGGTAGTATACATTAACAACTATGTCTTCATCCCAAACAAGGGTCTGATATATAAATCCCTAACATCCATTCTGCTCCATTGGACCCGTTTTATTGCAATACTCAATGATTTGTCTTAGAATCACCTATATAGAGCATATACCCACATGTGTCCTACTAGATCTAATGCAGTATGACATTTACAATTTTTTAGTTGCATTGAATGGATGATAGAGAAGGGAACTTTGGTGCAATGGTAAAAATTATTGCCATATGACCGGAAATCACGGATTCAAGCCATATTCCCAGAGAGAGTAGAATAGAAAAGTCTGTCAACTCTTTAGTTTTAAAAGGTTTAAATAAGTGTATGTAGAGGAAACATCCTCTTGCAGAAATGCAAAGTAACTTTGCATTCATAAAACACAATGGTCAGCGAACCCTGCTCATAGCTGGAGATTATGCACCAAGACTGCTCTTTATCAAAAGGCAATAGAATGATCTTATACTATAAAATTTAACTTTTGATATAGAGAATAAATGATTCTTTCTGCAACTTCACATTAGCCAAATTCTAAAATATGAAAATATATCAGGCATTGGCATATCTATATTTTTTTCCGGTGATATTCCCTATATTATAAACCAAAAACCTGACCTAATTTACATGGTGCACTTTTTTGAGGTTAATTAACTAATTTTGTTAATAATCACACAGAAAAATTGTGGATAAAGGAATATCATGACAAGAATACTAAAAATTACACAATCTTTTTCTTGTTTCAAAGTTAATAAAAATGAATTCCTTACCGGCTGCAGAACAAAATTTACGTTTAAACTTTGTCCATTTATCACATTATAACTACTTAACATAATGATACTCTCTTTTTTTGTTTTATAAATTTAAAAGAAGAATAAAAAACTTAATTGTTCCTTCTCTAATATGACCAAATTTTCAAGCTAGTTTTTATGCTTTCATGTCCCAAAATATTCGGATTAACAGAACTATATTTTTACACATCCTTCAAGGTATCTGTTCAAACTTGTATTCAAAAGTAAGCACCCACTCACTTGGATATAAATTTTCGTTACACTTTTATGAACAACCTTAATAGAGGGATTAAAGAAGGAAGCTCATAAAGATACAAGAAGTTTTCAAGGAAATGCAATAACGAGGAGGAGGAAGAGGATCCTAGAAGCAGCATAATGCAATTTCCCATCTTTTACAATAAAAATCTTTATTTTCCTTGAATCATTTGAAATAGCATGTCTTCATTTTCCTTTGGAATATATATATGTCAGAAACCGTAATAAACCATATTTCTTGTACAATTTCTATCCCTGCAAAAACTTTCTCCTCCTTTCCCGATGTTTGTGGGATGGGAGCCGACTTTGAAAAACAAATCATCCTGAAACCTCACTCATCTCCATCAATCATAATCCAAGTCTATCCCCCAAGAAGCTTTTTCCACCAGCTTACAGAAAAAAAAAACTCATACCTTACCAAGACACCATTAGTTACCAAATTATAAAAAGAATCAAAGCTTCTCCCTTTAAGCCTCATCATATGTATCAAAATCTTCCAAATTAACTCTTGTTAACCACTTCCATTTAACTTCAAACACAAATCTGTACTCTCAAAAATTCACTTCTAAAAGCACAGAAAGGAAATTTCCAAATCTTCTCTTTCCCCTTTCCTCAAAAGAGCCATTGTTTTTTGTAATGTTGTGTATGATGGGCTACAACTGGCGATGTCTAAGACTATATTTGACCTGCTAAAATGCTTATACAGGGAAGGCAAAGACAAAGAAACTATGAAGAAGTGGATCAAAATCCTAGCCGGCATTTGGTGGACCTTAAGGAACGAAAGGAACCAACGGGGCTTTGAGGGTCACTCTAATCCAGTCTGAAAGATAAAAATCAACTGTCCTTTTTTTTTTGTTTTCCTTTTGGTGTAAAATGGAGTAGGGCAAATGATGCTCTATGTTAGACACTATAGAAATCTTTACATGGATATATGTGATGTTTATAGAGGAGAGCTAACCAGTTTTTGCTTTTTGCTGATGATCCTGATGCAAAATGGCCCAGCACCTCCTTAGTGCTGTTTTGCTACTAACGGAATTTTCCTTTTACTGATAAAAGAAAAAACCATTTTTATAAATAATTAAATATTCAAATCCCAAATAAAGCTAAGCAAGTAAATAGGTACAAAAACACTTTACAGCTCCAAGGAGCTTAAAGTTAAATGTATCCATACCTCCCACGGCAACAAGTGCGGGATAACTACGACAATCAAGGCAAAATCACCTAGTATTTCTCTTATAAAAAAGAGATCACCTAATTTTTTGTCTCCGCTAGGATTTAAACTGGTCCCTAAAGTATGCACACACTTCATTGATCACAAAGCCTCACCCTTGGGTGCGAGAATTTAATACTATCTAGAGACACTTTTTTACCGGTAAGCAAAGTACTGTCAATGGACGTTTTTTTCTTAATAACTCAACGTATATCTCTCTTTCCAGTTTCCACAACATCTACACGATGTTATGAGCCATCCACATGACCTATCACTTCATACCCATAAAAGTGTCCATTTTGTGCTTCAAACCATATTTCAACAAATCTACTGTCTCTTTTGGCGTAATACATACGGAGACACCTAAAGTTGGCACGATCTTTCACTTAGACACTTAAACTAGACCTCTTTCCAATTAGACATGTTTCTTAGGCAATTCTCATACCAATTAGACACGTTTTTTGCTGGCTTATTAATTAACCAAGCGCGTGTTCTGCAATCTCCGTCTACGTGGCAAAAGTAACCATTATAAATCGTGCCATATCATTTTATTTGTCCACCTCACTGTCCACCTCAGCTATATTGTGTTATTTCCACTAAAATACAGATAACTAGCCCTAAACAAACATCTAAACATATTACCATTGTTCCTTTTACCTTCGATGAAAACGAAGAAAGGTCCTACCACTGTTAATCTTCTTCTTCTTTTGGTCAATGGTGTTGGAATCTATTATTTCCACTGATTTCTCACCGTATTTACAACGCTTCAAGGTCCAATCACTCCTTATTTTCTATTGCTACAGTTAGGGCTAAGTAATCTGTAAGTTATTTCTCAAGCTAGGTTTTTTTTTGGGGTTTTCCTTTGTGCTGGTCCTTTGTCGTCTTATGTAAGGGAATATTATGGAGGATGACTATATTTTAACTCGCTTTCACCACGGGGGTACATTTATCGAGCAACCTGTCCCACTATACAAAGGGGAATTAGATGCTTTTGTTGTTGCTATCGATAAAGACCATTTTAGTGTTGTCGAGTTGTCTGCTTATGCTAAAGACCTTGGGTATGCAGTTGTCGAAGGGTTTTATTGTCAAAAGGAAAAAGATGGTGATTTTATCAAAGTCTTTTCTGATTTTCAGTTATATGAATTTGTGAAAGATTTAAAACATGGTGATATTTTGGATGTTTATTTGC